ATCATCACCTCCTCCAGTCCACTTCATACCATCATCACCTCCTCCAGTACCCTTCATACCATCATCACCTCCTCCAGTACCCTTCATACCATCATCACCTCCTCCAGAATTAAAACTCAGCATCTTCAGCCAAGACCTACTCTAGGTTCACCACTTCATCTCACTCCATTGGCTGGTGGCATTCAGTAGTCTTTAGAATGTCAAGAATAACCGACAATCACATGTAAATGGCAAAAACAATGGCGAATTCATCTCTCCTGATTGTTTCTTTGAACTGGTGTATTATACATTGCTCATTAATTCCTAGTTCAGTATGCCAGTACTCTCACGGATTATTTTAGCACAAAATCTGAATGCTGTAAAATGCAGCACCATTAGACAACATGCTTATCATTGACTGAGCTGAGATTCCTCCCCACATCCAGGCAGGATCACAGAAGCAGAGGCCAAGCTGTCCTCCCACCTCAACATTGTGGGCATGGTGGGCTCCATTGACAATGACTTCTGTGGCACCGATATGACTATTGGCACTGACTCCGCCCTGCACCGCATCATAGAGGTGGTGGACGCCATCACTACCACAGCCCAGAGGTGCTCATGTGCTCTTCCAAGAGTGGTTATTGTGTAGAAAGGCCATTTTGTCTTCTAACGTTCATTGTTGTCAAACTCTAAAAAGTCCAGAGCAGACCACCATTTTCAGGAGTTATGAGTCTGATTTAAATGTCGTTCAGGTGATTTTGATGAAATGTTCAATACACAGTAGTAGTAAAAGATGCAAGTAGTCTATTTGATTTGAATCTGTGTGTGTCTGTGTCCTTTAATTTGAATCTGATGTCAACACTCTTCTGTTGTCCAGTCATCAGAGGACCTTCATCTTGGAAGTGATGGGAAGGCACTGTGGGTGAGTGTTAGGGTTAGTGCCTCTGCATTTGGAGGCCAGCATGAGTGCCGCATGCTTACACGGCACCTCACTTCCCCACAGGTATCTGGCTCTGGTCACTGCCCTGGCCTGTGGAGCCGACTGGGTCTTCATCCCGGAGATGCCCCCGGAGGAGAACTGGGAGGACCATCTGTGCAGGAGACTGGCTGAGGTGAATCTCTAATGCCACCCCTACCCGCTCTACCTCTGCGCAGGCCGGTTTCCTGTTCTGAAACAGCGTTGCTCTCCTTAACCTCAGACTCGAGGCAGAGGCTCCCGTCTGAATGTGATCATTGTGGCGGAGGGGGCTATCGACAGACATGGCAAATCCATCACCTCCAACACAGTCAAGGATGTGAGTCCCCACAGAGCCCATTGGTCACAGCCTTTACATCCTCCATATTCCAGTTTTCACACCAGGACATCAAAATATGCTCCACGGAGAGCCCTCTATGGTATGACGCAACAGCTTTTACTAACAATGGCGTTTTTCCCATTTTTTCTCTGTTTACCTGTAGCTGGTGACAAAGAGGCTGGGTTATGATACTCGTGCCACAGTCCTTGGACACGTGCAGAGAGGCGGGACACCATCTGCCTTTGACAGGATTCTGGTACGATTCTCACGCTCATCCGCTCTCTCTCCTACTATCTCTGTCCATTCTGATCCGACTAACTATGACCCCTTCAGATATGTGCACCTGTTCAAACAGATACAGCAGAAGCCGGAGCCTCAGCATTAACGGTAGCCTCTCTGCACCCCCCAGGGAAGCAGGATGGGAGTGGAGGCTGTAATGGCCCTTCTGGAGGCTACCCCAGACACGCCGGCCTGTGTGGTCAGCCTGTCCGGAAACATGGCCATCAGGGTGCCACTGATGGAGTGTGTGCAAGTGGTGAGGCGTCCTTCCGGGTAAATCACTGTGGCACATTTGCACAGAGAGATGGGAGCCGTGAAGTAACTATAGAAACTTTATTTTGTGACTGGTAAACATGGGTGTAAATAAGAATGCATTCAAAACAAGCATGATTAAACCATATTTCGCCATTCTCTTCTTCTACCTCATTATCAGACAAAAGAGGTCACTAAAGCCATGGAAGAGGGGAGATTTGATGATGCTGTCAAACTCAGGGGCAAGTAGGTGTCCAGTATTTCCTCTCATGTTCTTACACAGTAAGTAAGTAAAATTTATTTATAAAGCACCTTTCACAGGCAAGAGGTGACAAAGCACGGTACAGCACCAAAACACACCACCAAGATAAAACAAAACAAAGAAAAGTAAATTAGCAGAAACACTACTAAAAAAACAGATTACAAGCAAAAGACTTCTCAACTCAATGTAAATGCATTCTTAAACGAAAAAGTCTTTAGTTGCTTTTTAAATCAGTCAACTATCTCAGCTGGAGTCAATGCTAGTGGGAGACTGTTCCAAAGCCTTGGTGCAACACACTGAAAGGCAGAATCCCTGCATGTCTTTAGCCGGGTACGTGGGACGACTAAGAGACCCTGTGACCTAAGTGGTCGACAAGCTGTCTAGCAGTGCAAGAGGCCAGTAATATATTTGGGTGTTTGTCCATGCAGAGCTCGGTAGGTGAGTACAAACATTTTAAAACAATTTCTATACTCAACTGGAAGCCAATGCAGTGCATACAAAATAGGGGTAACATGCTATAAGGAAAAGTAGTAAAGATGCACCAATTTTCTTGGTTGATCATTTGAACACAGACGGTGTTAGCAAGTTATGATCATGGGGGATGCCATGTGCTGATTGGGGGTTCCAATCAGCACCACTAGGGTGATAAGGAAGTAATTGAATTACAATCATCAGAAAGTCTCCATCCTGTCCTGCCCCATCCCTGCCCCAGGCTCCTCACACGCCAGGGGGTCACTCTTTATATGTAAATTCACTCACAACACCTACACACAGCACCTTGCTGGGAGCCACAGACCCTTACAGACTACTGTAGTCCAAAATGGAGCCACAGACCCCCACAGACTGATGTAGTCAAGAACGGAGCCACAGACTACTGTAGTCCAAAACGGAGCCACAGACCCTCACAGACTGCTGTAGTCCAGAACGGAGCCACAGACCCCCACAGACTGCTGTAGTCCAGAATGGAGCCACAGACTCCCACAGACTGCTGTAGTCAAGAACGGAGCCACAGACCCCCACAGACTGCTGTAATCCAGAACGGAGCCCCAGACCCCCACAGACTGATGTAGTCAAGAACGGAGCCACAGACCCTCACAGACTACTGTAGTCCAAAACGGAGCCACAGACCCCCACAGACTGATGTAGTCCAGAACGGAGCCACAGACCCCCACAGACTGATGTAGTCCAGAACGGAGCCACAGACCCCCACAGACTGATGTAGTCAAGAACGGAGCCACAGACCCCCACAGACTGATGTAGTCAAGAACGGAGCCAAAACCCCCCACAGACTGCTGTAATCCAGAACGGAGCCAAACCCCCCCACAGACTGCTGTATTCCAGAAAGGAGCCAAACCCCCCCACAGACTGCTCTAACCGATCTTATAGTCCACTGTATCAAAGGCTGCAGTAGGGTCTAACAGGACTAACACAGAACGCTCCCCTGCATTGGCGGTCATTAGTCGATCACTAAAAAACTTTGAGGAGATCTGTTTCTGAAAACCAGACTGATATGGATCAAAGATCTAAAAGGCTGCCAAGCTGCTGTTTTTTGCTTAAATTTCTCTTTTTAGAACTGTTGCAAAATCTGAAAAGTTAAATTCAGGTTCTAACTTTTTTGTGTTTTTTTTCATCAAGGAGTTTTGAGAACAATTGGAATACATACAGGCTATTGGCTCATGTGCACCCCCCAGAGGCAAAGGTGAGGAACTACATATCTTGTTTCAAATTCAGAAGTACTTAGTTCTTAGTAACGTTAATATGAATTCACCATTCTGACTATTCTGCGTATTATATTTATTATTAGTAGTAGTAGTTAATAGTGTAATGGTTCTGAAATGGAGACACCCCCCCAACCCGCTGCCACCTTGCAGGTGCAGCATGTTGAGCTATAATTACAAAACTAAATTTTCCATTTCACAATTAACACTACGATACACGTAAATCAAGAAATTATTACTCTATTTAAAGTAAGGGCAAGCTGTATATTTTGAAAATATTACACATCATAGGACAATGATTGTACAGTCCCGACAATGATATTAGCGGCAATCGAAAACCCAGAATTTTTTCCCCATTTTTTCTAATGCACCCCCTCAAAAAAAAAATCAGGAATAGACCGAATCATGACTCCGAAATCAAGGTCTGAACAGAACTGTGGATTTGGACAGTTGTTAGTAGTAGTATCTACAGGCAGGCCCCTGAGTATGTAGAGATTACTATAATCCACACCTTTCCCTACCTCAGAGTAATATCAATATTGCCATCTTGAACATTGGTGCCCCCTGTGCTGGAATGAATGCTGCAGTTCGTGCAGCCGTCAGGATTGGCATCACCCAAGGTCACCATATGCTGGCAGTGCATGACGGATTCGAGGGGCTGGCTCATGGACTGGTAATGACCTCTGACCTCCACAGAAAATTACAGTCAACCTCAACTTCTTTCGCTAAGTTTTAGTTTTTTTTTCTTCCTTTTTGCTTTTATTCATTTTACAAATCATGAAAAGTACGTTTTAAATGACTCATGGTATGCTCACCTACTCTAACTCACCACCCCACCCCAGATTGAACCCATCACGTGGGCTGATGTTGGTGGTTGGACTGGGAAGGGTGGATCCCAGCTGGGCACCAAGAGGTAAAGTGTGCTGAGTCTAATATTATGTAGGCTGCCTGTAGGGTCCGATGAGGGAACCTCCTGTTTGAAAAGAGCATAACCATCTTGCTGAGAAATGATGACTGATAAGATGGCATTTCATATCTGTGAGAACTTCTGCATTAAAATAACTACAAGTATGCATGAAAAAATGGCCACTTTGCAGAAAACCGTAGTTAAACAGCAAACAATAATAATATTGTGAAAGAAACACTGCTGCGATTATGCTCTGTTGGTGAAGTCTGTCTTGGTCCTTCTCTCTCTGTAAAGAACACTTCCATCAAGTATCATTGAGGAGATCAGCCTCAACATTGCCAAGTTTAACATCCATGGTCTGGTCATTATTGGGGGCTTTGAGGTGAGGGGAACAAGGTCAGCAAAATCTCTCCTGGCAGGATATGCAAGTTTAATAAAGAAAAACTCACATGCAGTTTAGTACAGAGGCTTCCAGCATCTCACGTACAGTACAGCGTTTCTTTTATGAATTATTGCTCCAATGATGAAGACTTAATTAATGATGTAATGCATGTATAATTCACTGGAAAGTATCTGAGGTGTATTGGGTCTTGTTGTGGCTTTGTGGCCTCTGCTGGATCTCCCAGGCTTTTGTGGGCGGCCTGGAGCTGGTGACGGCGAGGGAGAAGTATGAGGAGCTGTGCATCCCTCTGGTGGTGATCCCTGCCACCGTGTCCAACAATGTGCCTGGTTCAGACTTCAGCATCGGTGCAGACACAGCCCTGAACACCATCACCACGGTCAGGACCGTCAGGCGGCCTCACGCATACAGTGCCTGAACACCATCACCACGGTCAGGACCGTCAGGCGGCCTCACGCATACAGTGCCTGAACACCATCACCACGGTCAGGACCGTCAGGCGGCCTCACGCATACAGTGCTGACGCAGAGCTCACTAGTGTTCACACACACACATTTGACGGTCTGAGCTCTGGTTGTCCCCCACCCCTTGTGACTCCCAGGATAACCATCCCCCATCATTCCTTAACCTATACCATATACACCAAGCATGGGGGGGGTGTATTTGTATGTGAGGACTCTGAGCCCATGATTGGAAAGTATTTTATGGGATCGTTCTGCATCGTAAAATAAAATCCCGTGTCTCGCCTTGTGATTTCATTATTGGGCCTTGGAGCAGGTCCTTTAACCCCAACTGCTCTCAGGATACTGGGTGGCCCTGATCTCTAATTGTTCACACTGGTCACTGGACAAATCACTGTATAGGTGAGGCTGAAGTATGATGGTGTCACCCTGATGTGTCGGTAAGAACAATTCTGCAGTCAGAATGCCGTTTACAAGTTTATCTCCACCACAATTATGCACAGTGTTCAAGCTCAGGCTTAACCAACGTGAAAAATAGATGCAATGTTGTGGTCTAAAGAAAGGAAATAAATTATTAGTTTGTATTACATCCAGCTGTAATGCAATTAATATGTGACATGTCTCTAATAGAACCATTTTACTAATGTTTACATAATAAAGGAAGTTGGTCACCATCATTGCGACCCCATGTGGCAGTTTATTCATAGTGCTGCTTGTGTATGTACTTTAGCTGTTACTTAATGTGTGCATCCATTTATTTGACGTTAAAATTAAGTGTTGTACCCATGTAGTATTTTACCGTGAAGTGCATGTTATGTCCCGTCTCTAAGTTGTACCTTGATCATGGGAAATGCTGCAATATTTGTAGACGATATGATTAAAATACTGAAATTTGAGATAAACACCCACATTCAAATCTACACACATAGGCTGAATCCTTTGGGGTTATTCTACTACGTGACACTGTACCACCTACACAATGGCAGACATACAGAGCAACCCTTAGGTATCAGTATAAACTGAACTGTACATAAGCTGCAAGTCCTTTTAAAACACATCGCTTATGCTGTCATGAGCTTTATCTCGAGATAAATGATCTCATTCTCATCTCTCATCTAATAAATAATAGCAAGCATGGCCGTTCTCGGCTTCCATACTGTGGACAGAAGTGTCTGCTATATAAATAATGTAAAATGTTACTCACTGCCTGTGTTCTGATGGTTACACGGACACATGAATAAACAACATTGGGCAATGCCTTTAGACATAAACAAATCATTTTTGTATTACACAGCACTGGAATTGCTGGGGTTTTTTTTGTTTTGTTTTTTTCAATATAATTGTCTGTTTCTTTTTTAAATACATTTATTATATTGTTTTCTATTTTATTGATATTGCTATTTTTTATTATGGTGGAGTTGGCCACCTTTAATTTCACTGCAGCTTATGGTTTATATAACTTGCTTATTACAAATGAAAATCCTTGAATGCTTCAATCCTCCGTCTTCCAGACATGTGACAGGATCAAGCAGTCGGCCGCCGGTACGAAAAGGCGCGTGTTCATCATCGAGACGATGGGCGGTTACTGCGGCTACCTGGCCACCCTGGCCGGGCTGGCGGCTGGCGCTGACGCCGCCTACATCTACGAGGAGCGCTTCAACATCCACGACCTTGAGGTGAGAGACCTGAGCGGGAAGCGCCGGTCTGGGCCGCGTCCTCCGCAGCGTGCGGCTCACGCCTTCCTCTCACCGACAGGTGAACGTGGAGCATCTGGTGGAGAAAATGAAAACGACCGTGAAGAGAGGCTTGATTCTCAGGTGTGCATCCTTACAGTAGCGCTGTGGGTCTGCGTCATACACAAGATGCTGAAGTGGGAAAAATGATCTTAATCAGGAGAAGAATGAGAGTAGGTAGTTACCAAGATTAGGATGGTCCTCTTAGGCTGAAATTCGATTAATTTTATTTTTATATAGCACCTTTCACGACAGATATTTTACAAGGGTGTGTGGCAATCCAATAACATATCATTTATACAGACAGAAAGAGCAGTGGCAGTGGTGGTTTAATGGTTAGGGAAGCGCACTTGGAATTGAAATTGAAAGATTCTAAGGTTTGAATCTCCTATCAGCACAGCACTACTGAGGTACCCTGAGCAAGGTTCCGCCCCCAAACGCTGCTCCCTGGGTGCTGAATTAGCTGCCTCCTGCTACGTCACGATGTCACATATGGGTTAAATGCAGAGGACACAATTTGTTGTTGTACTGTGGTGTGTCAACAATGACCACTAATCACTAAATTCTAGAAATGGCCAGGAGACAACAGAGGAACTAAAAACTGCCAAACAGGGATAAATACCACCTCAGCTGCCATCCAGTGATGTTGGTAGGACAGCAGAGCACACGGGTGTTCAGAACATGCATAGGCACATTGATGGACAAGCGATGAAAAGGACACGTGCAGCAGTACCAGCAGCCACAGTTATAAAATGTATGCCACTTTGGACAAAAGTGTCTGTGGAATAAATAAACGTAAATATAAAGGAAATGCAGGGCCAAAACCTCATCGCTGAAGTTTGCTTTGTGTTCATCTTCCCAGGAATGAAAGGTGCAATGAAAATTACACCACTGACTTCATCTTTAACCTGTATTCTGAGGAAGGAAAGGGAGTGTTTGACTGCCGGAAGAACGTCCTGGGACACATGCAGCAGGTCAGTTAGGACAGACAAATAAATTAAATTAAACTAATCTTTCAGTGAACATTCACATAAGCATATAAGTACATAATATTAATCCATACATCTATCTTATAACCCCTAATCCTTGTCAAAGTTTCAGGACAGTAGATAATATTTCTTTTTCCCTGTAATCATGCATTGCTAATTTGAATTTAGTTTAAACATGAACAATTAATGAAATATTGATTAATCAAAGTGGTGATCTACTGTTGCCACGATCCTGACCAAGAAAAGTGGTTAGAGGATGGATGGATGGATGGATGGATGAGTGGATGAGTGGAAATCTGTTATTTTATTATACATTATCATAACAAATCAAATAACTGACAGTAGTCCCTAATGGTTTTCTGATCCATCAGCCAGTCACTGCAAAGCTGAAGCATATTCAATTCATAACACTTTGTGCAGTTAGTGTGTTCATTGGCACAGCTAATGTTAATTAAAGGTGCAGTTAAAACCCAGCACAGACAATTTACCACCCTGAAGGAGAAAGCTGACATACTCCCACTTATCCAGCTACATATGAGCCTCTTACACATGAAACATCTTCTGTGTTTCTGGAATTACATAAATAAGGACAGAGCTCATGTAATGATGAGTAATTATGTATTTCAAAATTAAGCAATTGAAATGTGTCATCTCTACCATCATTTAGGGTGGTACCCCCACCCCCTTTGACAGGAATTTTGGCACCAAAATGGGAGCGAAGGCTGTCCTCTGGCTGACAGAGAAGCTGAAAGAATGCTACAGACATGGTAGGTGCAGATAAATGACAGAGAACATTGTTCTTATCCTATGACCACCACAATGGTCCATCTCAAAGACTATGGTGCGGATTCCACTAATATGACAAAACCTCCAAAGAATTAAGATTTACCAAAGTGCAATGTGCTGACAAAAGAGAGAATGTCTGGAGGTTCTTAAGGGACACTCCAGAAAGTTCCATAAATGATGAGTCTCCATTTAGTACTTGTGAGGTTCTCAGCTGTAACATCGAAACTCTAAGCTTTGGTCCTGGAATTTGCTGTGATCATTGTGTTCTTTTTGATTGTGGCTTCTCATCTCATGTCTTTCTCGTGTTCATTCTTTCCAAGGTCGTATCTTTGCCAACACGCCACAATCGGCGTGTGTGCTGGGCATGAGGAAAAGGGCCTTGGTATTCCAGCCTCTTGCAGAGCTGAAGGAGCAGACAGACTTTGAGTGAGTTCTCATGCAAAAAGTCTAATGTTCCTCCCTGGTCCACAATACTTTTCCACGACAGTGCAGCTCACTTTGCAGAAAAATCATCCCTCTTAACTTCTGGATGGATGCTAAATGTAAGAGTGGCATACTTTTAATGTGATAAACATTTTAATGTGACAAATGTCTCAGGCTTGCAAACAGCACAGGAGTAAAATTGTCTTTATCAGTCTTTGGCTGAGTCAAACCTGAATCAAGCTGTTAGTCTTTTTCCCAGGAGTCTGGAGCATAATAGTTAACATTATTGCTAAGGACCTTACATAACTGAAGAATACAAAACTGTCAGAAGGTCCTTACATACCTGCCCTGGGGGAAGGTGGTGGTGGTGGGGGGGGGGGATCAATTCTCACAATCATAAAAGTGTGGAGATGGAACAGCAGGAGTTTATCGGGAGAAATGATAAATCGGGTGTACAGCGGGAGGGTGGGTGGAAAATCAGGAGAAACCCAACCCACAATGCAGGAATGTTGGCAGTTATGGTCCTAAAGGTTGGATGAATGACTGGCTGAGAAGAATGACCTGACCATAGCTGTGAGTATCATTCATCAGGCTTCACATTCTCTAACCCCCCACCCCATAGACACCGCATCCCGAAGACAGAGTGGTGGCTGAAGCTGAGGCCCATTCTGAAGATCTTAGCCAAGTACAAAATCAACCTGGATACCTCTGAAAAGGCTGCCTTGGAGCATGTGATCAAGAAGCGAGGGCTTGTGTAACGGCCAACCTGGAGCAAAACAGAGCCGAGGATGTCCTCCTGAAATCAATTTCAGGAGCCAAAAACTGTAGTGCTCAGTGGTTACAAGCTACTTCCTTTCGGCAAATGTCAATAGTATCATGATTTAGTTAAGTTACTAAAATTGTCTCTGGTCTTAGTGATGTTAAGCCTGATTCATATTTCACTTGTCCACATGCCGTGATGGTCCACATCCAATCTGCACAGTCTGCACAAAAATTTTGGGCCTGCCGTCTGCACATATGCGAGTAATTGATAGTGCATGACTAGGTGTTTCCAGTAGGTGGCAGCACTGAGTTTCACAAAGCAGTGGTCAGTGACGACCAAGTGAAAGCAGAATAATTGTACTTATGGGTGCTTTCGATTAGCTGCTGTGTGAGAAGGTGTGGAGGTACTTGCATATAGGTATATTATAAATAACTCATCATTAAAGGTATGAGTAAGTATAAGCTTCATTCTAACTAAGAAGACTGCTGCCCTCTGCTGGTGTAGTGGACACGTGCTAACCACAACCATCTGTGTACATTGACAAATGCAGGGTATGCAAATGTCTACAATGACCATAAAGACCACAGTGGCACACAGTCAAGTTTAGTATGAAATAGGCTCCGATGTTAAAGCCTTTGATGGTTTTCAGAGCTATAACTCAATACCCAACAGGAAACACCTGTAAAATCAGTCTAATGTCCTCCCTTCACAAGGTATGAGAACTGTATGTAAAATGTAAGGCATCTCTGTTTAATCTCAAATGTCAGAAATCCAATGAGCTGAGCCTGCTTTCTTCCTTAGTCTCATATACATTTTAATGTCTTTCTGTGGTACTTGTACTCTCCTGTCCTCTTCCTGGCCATTATGCTATGCTTTCCCCTTCAGTGCTCTCTCTTATACTCTGGTCCTGGACTTTTGACCTCCTGTTGTAGTCTTTCCTGCTTCATTCATGTTGATCCAGCCATCTTCTTAAAATCTTTGCAATTTTGTAATTCCTATCTGTGTAAGAGACTCAAAAGAGCCGTTAAATCAGGATGAAACCTCTCTGCTTACATTGACACAATAAAAGACTAGTAGACAATGAGCATCTCTTTGCTATTTTGTACAAAACAAAGCTAGATTTATTATTATTGTTGTTGTTGCTGCTGTTTTTTTTTGTTTGTTTGCTTGTTTATCTAAACCCCTCCCACAAGAAACCTCACTACTGTGGGGGGGGGGGTTCATGATCCCCCAAAGATGCCACCCCAGCCAGTTGCCCACACTGCTCTTGCCAGGATCTGCCACCGATGCCACCTGTTCAGCTCACGGTAGCAAGGATAAGATACATCGCTAAAAGGCTGAGAGTAAAGGGCTCGATCTATCTTCAAAACATGTATCGCAAATTAAAGGAATATTATGTCTCAGAAGTTGATAAATTTATGTGAAGTGGTAAGGATTATTATTTTGTACATAGTTTGTAACATTGGTGACACTTTATGTATTAATTAACCACAAACCAAGTCATAGTTACATAGTTGTGTTAATTCATCATTAATTAATCATGATGCACGTTTTATCTCAAGCAGTCACTGTATTTGTTACTATATCTGTTAATTCTGTAAAACTTTGTGAACTACTGAAGGAACAAGTCATGAATAACACAAGTTAAATACTGATTTGTTCACCACTGAATCATGATTACTTTAGGAACTCCTAAGTTACCATCAAGGAACTACTGAAGGAACAAGCCATGAATAACAAAAAAGTGAAATATTCATGTCTGTTCATCATTAATGAATCGTGACGCATTTTTATCCGTTTAGTCGCACGCATGTGGCGTGACACGCTCAGGCAAGAAATCTTTAATTTATATTATTTCATTATAGAACAAAAATTAGCTGCATCAAAAGCGTTGGGGAAGTTTGCAAACCCTACATACTATTTGCAAGTTAATAAAACTGTTACATTCATGTAAATGAGTGTGCAGACTTGTCTGGAATTGAAATTCGCACGCCAGCCATCTGACCAAAGTTGGTGACGCTAAGGTAGCAACTATATTTGTTCATGATTTGTTCATAATTTGTACTTCAGTAGTAACTGAGTTATTACTAAGGATTTGTGCTCCGTCATAGTACCGTAACATTTACTTTGCGAGTGGATGAAGTTGTTTTAGGTAGCAGCCATAGGTGATTCTACACCCTATTTAAGAAGGTTTCAGTCCCCCTGTTTTCTGTTTCACAGCCCCCTCCTTCCCCCCCGAGAAATACTTTAGCGATTTGTCCCTTATTTTCGTATGCATTTCGTGATCCCCACTCGGCGAATTTAATCGAATTTTAGCTGTAGGCCTATGCTTAGCCCCCCTATGGGTGAAATGCTAGAATCGCCCATGGAATCGACGCTGCCCGCAGCTCTGAGTGATTCGCAGTGGATAGAAGGCGAGTGACAGATACGGCGACCGAGCACCTGGTATGCCTGTCGCATGTCACAAGAGCCCGATTGCATAACATTATCAGCGTGATTCGTTCTTACCATCGTTCTCCTTAAGCAGTCGCCCGGGATACCGGCAAAAGAAACCGACCGACAGTCTACATTGTAGGCTGTTTCAAGTTAGTGTGGTGAGATTTTATTTACTATTATCTGTAAGATTGACTGAGCTATTATCACTACTATAACTACAAGGTTTCCTTTTACGTTTTCTCCCTTTTTCAGATGTTCATGTTGATGTTTGAGAGTTTTATAAGTGTGATTGAAAAAAGAAAGTGAAAAGTACCGCTGCATTAAAATGATGTTTCCATCAGGGAAATGACATTTTCAACAGTGAACAATTAATGTGCATATTTCAGTATAATTAAAATGCCGTTAAACGTAGTCATTTAACGTTAAGGACTGTAACGTGTTGGTTCGTGTAGAAGAGGGATCTTAGGGTTAAATAAACTGCGCCAGAATGTCTGTTATGGTTCAAAACTTCAAGCTTAAGGTGATGGAGGTGGACATAGGCAAGCTTGAATCCTTATAATTTTTGAGGACTTTTGGGTATTTTCTCAAGGAAGATAATAAGGTGTTGTTGTTATTATTATTATTAGTAGTAGTAGTAGTAGTAGTAGTAGTAGTAGTAGTATTTTTTAATTTTATAATCCGAGTTAACATTAAACAATATATCAGTTGTACATTGCCAGTGTAGGAAAGTTTTCAATTATTTTGTTGGTTAAGTACTTATTTAAAACACTTTATTTTTAATTTTTGCAGTTGGAACAGCTGAGCTATTTTACAGAATTTTTAAAAATGATTTTCCTGAAGGTTTTCTCAAGATTTAATTTATCTAGTCAGTATTATGCCTGGCAAAGGCAGAATCCCTGAGTTAAGGAACATTTCTTTTCATTTTGGATACTTGAAGAGAAATTTTGAAAACTTGTAATTGTTGCTTGTGAAAGTACAGCTTGACCAAGTGATTTGTGCCCTAAGCTCATGTGATTCTTTGTCATTTGCGTTAAGAAACCTTTTTTTTGTCTTTTTTGGTGGCCATATGGCTCATTTCCTGTTTTTAACAACATGCATTATAACAGAAGTTTGTTGAGCTTAGCGGCAGTCTTACGTGAAATGGGTCACAGGATGCAGAAATGGGTTAAAATTAATTCATAGTCATTGCATAGCAGCAGTCTCCTCCTGACATACTTTATCTACTCTCAGTTCTTCTACATAGCTGTGGTGTGTGGGACCTTGCACGGAATGATAGTTTTATGGATGTGTGGATGTTTCTCACACCTCTGAGCAATGCTGGCCGTAACAAAAGGGCCTCCTCTATAACATAAACTTTGTGTGTTGAATTCTTATTCCTATTCATTTTTGATACACTCAAAGCTAGCATCAGTTTAGTCTGTACAATTACACTGAAATCAGGAAGAACCTGGTTTGTGGCTTGGGGTTTTTGCACAGGCAGTCTGTCTCAGCTATGGTGCTTCCATTTCAGTACATATTTGGTTAATGTGAGAGGCTCAGTGTGACAAACCATAATAGTCTGCATGGTTCATATAGGAACTTACAAACAGGTGCACACAACAGCCCACTTTAAAGAAGCAGCACAAAACACCGGGTTCCAATGATCTGCTAGTAGTTTGAAGTGAAAATAGGACAGATAGTTCTAGATGAAATATGAACATAGCATCACAAATATCATGTACTTCTTGATTTCTAAAACCAGCTTAGTTGAGAACTGTAATGGACCAAACATCAGTAAAAGTTTTTTTTACTTTAAACCTATGTTTGTTGGAACATGGGTTGTGAGACTGTGCTGTCTTACACATGATTGGTGGTTTTCATGATCTTTTGGTCATTGATGTTGTGACTTTTTGTGGATTTTGTCATATTCGGTTCATTGTACTACATTACAATCAAAGATATTCCACCTAAATATTCAGTCATGCTTAATCCAGTTCAAAACTTTGCTTATAACCCAGCACATCTGACATAATTCCTAGGGTATATAACAGTTTTACATTTGCAGGTGATGGTTAGACTTCAATGCTTCCGGCAATGATTAAGAATGCATCAAGACTGGTAGCAGTGCAACCAGAGTAGCACTATGGCTAGCAGCTGACACACATGACAGGTACTCTGCTAGTCCACAATACTCCTCTTCTTACCCTTAGCTTGTTGTGCAGGCAATGAAGATGGCATGGCTGCTGGTGGCTCTTCTGCATTTTGTGCGGTTGTTGCAGACTTTAGGTAAGACCACTCCAGGTATCTTCTGCAGGAGACCACTTCCTCAAATTCTCCTTGGGTTGCACTGAAACAAGCCGAACAATGAAGTTCTTTCTTGAGTGTTACGTGTTGCTCTCAGTGTGGACAGTTTAGCCTCCACTCTAAGTGTGTTGTGGAGGGGAGGGTGCAGGGGCAGTTATAGGACTGTACTCATAGACCAGAGGCTGGACATGGACACACACACATACAATTTTGGGAGACAGAGATCTTTTAAGGGAGTCGGGCCCTGTGTTGGTCTGGGTTGGCCAGGGATGAATTTGTCCTGATGGATTGTTCCGGATGTTTCTCAGAGACACCCATGGAATGCAGACCTCAGCCCACCTGTCAAGAGTGCCTGAAAAGCCCATACTGTGCCTGGTGCAAAGAGAAGGTGAGTTTCCTCTTTTCTGTCTTAATCATCAATAGAAGCAAGTAAGCCTCCTATGAACTATTGAGATTTTCATTGCATAGAGGAACTGGCTGTTTGCTGTGCCCATGACAAATATACTCTTGAATGAACACACCCAGTGCCTTTCATTGTCATAACCGATAATGTCCACTATGGTGCCAAGTCAAAAGGAGACTGTAACAGGCCAAATGAACGGGTAGCAGTCTGATACATTCAGGATGCTGGGTGATGCCATTGTCTGTTAGATGTCGAAGCAAAGGTTAGTCTACACTCTAAAAACTGCTGGGTTAAAAACAACCCAATTTGGGTTATTTTGGTAACCCAGCGCTGAGTAAAAAAACCCAACAAGTTGGGTTACACGTTTAACCCAGCATGTTGGGTTGTGATTTTTAACCCAACTATTAGTTAAAAATGACTACACTGCTGGGTTGAATGTAACCCAAAATGGGTCAGAAATTTAATCTAGAAACTTTGGTGATTAAAATTACTAAAATAAAAACAATTCTACA